ACTATTATTCCTTAGATAATTGCCTAAAAATATAACTAGGAACGTCGTTTGAAAATTTTAAGTGGATCGTTCCAGTATCCAAATGTTTTATTACAAGTGGAAATAATTCTTTAAGAAAAACTAACTATTGTATTATAGAAAAAATAGTTGGAACATTACAAGAAATTTCACCATGATAAAAAAAAATAATTAAGTTAATTAAGCAAGTTTTTTATTTAATAACGGAGAAGAAAGTAAGTAAAAAATAAATCTTCACATTTCCAATTCTTATGTCACTTTATCTGTTGGTAATTCGAAGTGCCAACAATAAAGTGAGTATTAACTAAAAATTCAAACAAATCAGTCAAAGTAAGGGCATCCTTTTAATGTTCACCAGTAAAAAAAAAGAAGAAAATTTTACGATCTAAAATGCAGTAAAATTAATGAAGGAACTAAAAAGGCGAATTTCGGCAATGAAATTAATTAGCGAGTGTCAAAAAACTGCCGCAAACTAAAAGGAAACGTCAATCGCTTTGCCCTATCTGTGCGCACGTGGAACTTTTAGGCAAAAATATAACAACAAATACTTATTCAGGGCACATATTAAATGCTCACTTTCATCAATTTAATGTGGCAACGAACTGTTAACAAAATCACTTTCATTTTACAGCCACTTTTTTTTTATTGCTGTGAGGGTAATGACACTGACAAATGGCGCTCTTGCTTGTGGGCAAGTGACTTGAAGTGATAAGTGGCGACTAGGAGTGACTAGAAGTGGTTTACGAGTATGTAGCGTATTTTCACACTATAACACTATAGTGGAAATATGCGACTTTTTAGGAAACCGTTAGACATTGGGTTTTTTCGGCCAAATACAATATATAGTTTATGCACTCAAGCGCCTCTAAGTATGCTAAAAGCATGTAGTAGTGTCTGGTATTTTGACGTATTAACTCTTCAAAGAAATTTAACTTTAATTGAAATAAATAATTTTTCTAGTACACTTGTTCAGATTTTATCAGATTTTAGTATCCACTAAAGTGCGCGACAAATCATTTCGCAACAACTGTTTAGTTAAGCATTCGTAGAGTCATAGAGAGTAAAGCTCGGATGAATATTATTACTCCAAAAAATGTCATTTATCTTTCTGAAATGACTTAAAACCCAGTGACTCATACCGCTCATTTGTTAACGGCATTTGTGCCGCTATGACGTGCCCAATGTGGTGGAATTCTTGCTTTCGCCATGACGGTCCACTATTGCTATTGTTATAATGTGAATACGTCAGGCTTAGTGGTTTATTACAGGCATAAATTATACACAATAGGTGTCTGGTGTGTTTCGTATTTGTTATTCCTACATTCCATGGCGCCGTGAACATGTATGTATGTGTATACGTTATAATATAATATATGAGCGCAAAACAATAGCCTACATGCAGTTACTCTCACTAACTGATTGAAGTGGGTAAGGTCTATGGCCAGGTAATGATATTTGATATTCATTTGGGTCAAGTTTGTTTTTCACATACAAACTCTATGGTTAAAGAGCAAGAATTATGGCTTTTTGCTGCTATATCACTTAGAAATTGAAGTGAACTTAAATTGATTAATTTTCCAAAAAACTATTTTGCTATTTCTAGGTATGCATACTGTGAGGTCAAGATATATTCATAAGAAATTTTATAATTATATTCGAGGCGAGTCAGGCTAAAATTAGTTCCGTATTATACGTAATGATACATATGAAATTAAATCACAACCGTTCCTATCGCCTTGAATTTCGCAAAATAATTATCAATGTGTACACTTTCCCATCAACATTTATTCCACTAGCTAAAAATAAAGAGAAGGGCTCAAGCTGTTTATTACAAATATTTTATTTTCATCATAAAAGTTGGCTGTCAACAAAAGCGTGTGAAAAACTAATCGAGTTTTCCATACCCTTGTCACAAAAGGCCTTTATTTCCTTTGGCGATTTTTTATAAGAGCCTCAACTGACTGGCCCGTTTCACAAAACGGATATTTAAGTCTCGAGAAAAGTGAAAAGCACAGCGAGCCAGATTTGACATTTTTGTTGGCTGACTGATGGCTTTTGTTTGTATTTGGTTGGCATTTTACAACCGCTGCTCAAAGTTTTTTTTGCAAGAAATTCAAATATTTTGGTGTGAGGATGACAGCGTGTGTTGAGTTGAACCATGAATGGTGCTGAAAGCCATTGACATCTTTCAGACGCTAACATGACTTATGTCGTGTTAAATGCGCTTCACCCTTCACACTTCGCTACTGTCGTCGATGTTGGACAACTGCTTTTACAGTTCGCACATCGACTTCCGAAGACAATAAAGTAGACACCTCAAAACACATGACATTGCTTTGACAGGTTGTAGAAACCACAATTGTCCACAATGTCAATCTGATGATCTGTCTGACGGTCAGTTGATCTACAAATTTATAGATAGTCTCCTGAATGAAGAAAGATTATGCCTTCTACCATTTCACTTACAATATTTAAATTCAAAATTCGTTATAATTTCACAAAATGCTCTATAAAGATCAAGTCGGATAATAATGGATGAGCTGAAGAGGAGAATATAGTAGTGCAATCAATTCATTTTTAAATCGAAAGCTTATTGTCGTTCTCTCTTCAGAATCTGTAAGAATTTCTAAGGCAACCGAAATCAAAAGTGTTAAAATTGCTAACTGATTACCCATTCTACCATAACAAAATATGTATTTGCTTCATGCTAGCCGCTTAAATCTATTCCCAATCCAAAATGCTACCTTCACCTCACTTGAATTTTAGACTTGATGTGCTATTTCAGCTCTGCGCCAATTTGTTTTCATTGACCAACGCTTTCAAAAATATTTATTGGATTACCTGTAAATAGAACTCTTTTTCATATTTATTCATCATATCCATGTGTTCGTTTGCGAAATAGGCACGGTCGAAACTGTTTATTTTTCTCAGAAATGCAATGTTGTTTGAATCAAACTTTGACACTTTTTTTCGGGAAAAGTTTTTACTGCTCTGTTTTCAATGACATTTTACATGTTGCAAAATAGACCAGGTACTAATTTTGATGATAAAATATCAAATCTTAATTATAACATTTTGAATGTATTTCAACTTTTGTGTGTCACTGTAGTGCTTTTCAAGGTTGGAACGCTTATTTTTCTAGCTCGAAATATAAATCCACGATAAGTGAATGAATATACAGTAGAAGTTGATTTTCTAAATATATTTGCATCCAAAATAATTGATTCATAGATTCGGAACGGTTTTAAGCACTCTCGGTTGCTCATTCAACTCAACTTCGAGAGGGGTCCAATAAGTCGTTGCAACAAAAATAAATTAAAATTTTTTGAAAAAGGATGTTTATTTCTGTTGTTGTTGTAACGGTTAATAGGTCCTATTTGGTTGGCAAGAGGCGAGTTAATTGCCATCAAAGTCCTAAAGGGAGGTTCTTAAAACAAGCTGTTTCGATGGGGTCGGGACATGGGAAAGGGGGTTAAGTTTGTTGGTTCCAAGCGGAAAGCAACAAAAAAAAAAATCGGAAATTTCGGAAAAACAGTAATTTCTATTGTTGTTGTTGTAGCGGTTATTTTTGGTTGGATGGCAAAGCGCAAGTTAATTTTCATTGAAGTCCTCTCAGCGGGAGGTTCGATAAGCGTGCAGTTTCGATACCATTACCATAGAGAAAGGGGTTTGTTTCATGCAGCATGCATAGAGATGGTTAGACTCATGCGAATACTCACTGCATGCCCGGAGCCATTTCTCAATAAGTAATAGGAGTTAAATTGCTAAAGTATACAGAACAAAGTTAAAAGGGAGTCACCCTAGATTCCGAAGGTAACTCGATGTTCTCCTATTTGGTCGCGGTTGAATTCCAAGGAAGCCAATCAACACAATGACCGCATTTTATCCGGCAATAGATTGTCAATTCTTCGATATAACCCTGTTTGGACTCGTCGCTATTAAGAATGATGAAGAGTCAAATTTGACTCGGACTAACAAAAAATGAGATTTTTACGGTATTTATTTATCTACAAATCTTTATTATCGTCTTAAAAGTAGGTTCTTTTTGAGCCAAAACAAGCATGCCAACGCTTAATACTATTTTCCATATACTCGTTATAAGCCTCGACTAAGATGGCTTTCAGTACCTTCAGCGGACAGTTTCGAAGTCATATTCACAAATCAACGTGCCGTCATCAGTATTGACCCTCTTGATGAATGTTGAATCCTCAACTACGTTGTCAACCATCTCTTTTGCAACCTGTACTCAACGTTCTTTTTACAAAATATTCAGGTATTTTGATACACATCTAGTTTTGACACCGTTCATACCCAAAACATTTATCGAAATGTCTTGAGTCGATCCATAAGATATGTGCTGATCCTCTGTTTCATTAACTTTTTTGATGTTATCGTCATTAGTAGAGATAAATGGACGACTCGAGTGAGGCAAGTTTTCAATGACTTCACGATCTTAGCTGAATACTTTGCGGCACTTAAATCCTTTTTTTTTGTAATAAAGTATACTCCTCAAAACAACATTTGCAACCATTCCGCTTTATTTCTCGATATACTTGCCTCAGCGATTCCACAACTTTTTTAGCCCGTCTGAAAAATACTTTTTTAAGGGTCTTTAAAGACCTTCGTGGCGCTTATCCCCACATTCGGTTAAAATTTATGCTGCCGAGCGACTTTTTGAGGTTGAATACAGAAAGAAGTCGCAAGAAGCCTAATCTGTTGAATACGTTGGGAGCGTGTATAAAGCTCAGGGGTTGTCATCGAAGTTTTGAGATTCATACTAGTAAAGCGTGGTATTTTAACGCGGCTAAAAGAATTTGACATATTTTGAATGGAGAATCTAAAAAAAATATTTTTTATTCGAAATGGAAAAAATATTTTTTATTCGAAATTGAGAAACATATTGCTTAATCAAAAGCGCTAAAATAGTATACCTTACCATTCTTCGCAAGTTCAGTTTATTGTCTTTAATAAAACTAATAAAATTTTTTTTGTTAATTTCACATTTTATTCAGTTTTACAGCATAAAAATAAAAGAGTTGCTTAATTTTATATTTGAAAGCGAATTTGAATAAAATTAATGAAATTTGTTGGATTTCGAATTATATGTACATATATATATGTATATGTATTTTGAGTAACATTGACAAACGGATGAATAAACAACTGTACGTACAAACATAGATACTATTTCAAAATGTACATATATATTTACATGGATTACAAATACACACAAATATTTTGCTAAACTTGCTAAACTGTTTATTTTTGTTTATTATATGATATTTAGTCAAATTTGTTGTTAGTTATTGGTTATTTTACACACTAATCGCATTCCAATTTATATAAAAGCCAAAATGTGAAACCTAGTCCGACGAATCTCTGGTTGCCTCATCCTTAAAAATCACAACTTTATTATGAGTTTATTATCGGCACACCTACATGCAAATATAAGTATAGCATGTTCAATTATCACTGCTGAGCCACAAAGCAATATTAACACATTCGAACGATTTGTAATTGAATTTATTACAATTTTGGATTTTGACAAAATTTTTCAAAAATTTCTCATTAATTTTATCTGGTATTTACAACTGACATTTGAATGGAATAATTAATAACGGGATTTTAACCACACAGCGTAGGCTATGTAATTAGCCAAACTTAGCATTATGTGCTGCCGCTGCTGCTTACATACATATATACACGCAAATAACAATTATGGATAATAACATTAAAATCTGTTGCGATAAATTTTATAAAAGCCCACGCACACATATACACAAACACTCACACACCCACGTACACAACCACGTAGGCAATCAGGCCGCCTACACCGAATCAGACATCTGTCGTTGCCATTTGGAGTTCGGTCCTGGTCGGCGCCGCTTTTGCCCTCAGAGTCGCGGACTGTCCAGCATGGTGTTTGTAGTCATTATGGTGCCGCTGTTGGCCATTATAATGGAGTTTCCCGCCACCGAGTTGTTGGATGAGTTTTTGCGCCGAAATAAAAAACCGCTCAGCTGGATGCCCTTGAAAGTGTCGAGGAAGGCGCGCCGAAAACCCGCATTCATAAAGCAGTACGTAATCGGATTACAACAGCTGCTCGAGTAAGCGAGCAATTGCAGAAACGGTATCCATCTATAGCCCACATATTCGTAAATTACCGGCCCGATGAACATCGCCACTGTGTTGATGATATATAACGGTGTCCAGCAGATGAAGAACTCCAACACAAGCACGAAGAGCATTTTAATAACACGCTTCTTACTCTCCAGACTCTTCGTTTTGTTGGATCTACACGAAGCACACGCGTGTGTATGAAATATACAAAGAGCAAAAATGGTACAAAAAATCAAATAAAAATGGCAGCGTTAATAAGTTAAATTTCTGAGTGGTAGTGGCGGTGCAATAAATCCCGCATTGAATGCTATTGATGTGCTACATTAAATTTAAATCGAGTTTCCACCAAATACCGTGGCACGTGTCATAAAGTGATTGCAGTAGCTTAGCTGGGCGTTGGTGGAAAAATAAGAGCAATCAACGCCAAAACATATGATAGCGAAGTATTTTCGTTATCCCAAAATTTCGGGACTTCTTTATATATAACAGAATGTGCATAAATTACGATATTTCGGGATCAAGAAATATTTTACGTAGTCCCGAAATTTCGGAATCGAGTGTTTAAATCATGTTTCAAATTAGGAGATTTTGGGTGTGGAATAAATTGTTTGCAGTCCTGTAATTTTGGGATCGAACTTTCGTTATTTAGCAAAAAATATGTTTAAAATTATAATTTTTGGAGTGTGGAAAAATTTATTTGTAGATTCGAGATTTATTTAAGAAAGAGCAGGTTTAATCCCGAGATTTTTTTGCATATTCGGTGTAACGTGCGGCATTAGCTTAATTTTATGCCTGAAAGTACGAGTTGTCGGATACCGGATGAATTATATATAGTTCCCAAATTTCGGGATTAAGATTTTCGTTATGAGGGTCGACGTTCGATTTTCTTTATTTCTGGGAGTAATATCATGAGATAACGTTTTCGGGATACATTTTTTGTAGTCCCGAAATTTCGGCATCGGGATTTAAATTTTTTATTTTTGAAAAATAAGTTCCACAAGTTTTGTTATAGCTGAGAACATACTATAACTTCATTATTTAACGTACTCTGGTTATAGTGCTTTTCCGGATATCAAAGATAGGTAATATTTTTTTACAGCGCTTGAAAAATTCTATTGGAAGAAAAGAAATTGTGCTGCTTCAGATGTTTGAGGCGATGTTTTCCAAATAATTTTATGTAATTGTGGGATGTTGCAATTTGGACCGAACTAAATGATTTTTAGGTTAGGACTTTGTATCAAAAATTCACTTGAATATTTGATACTGACCACCGGGACACTGTCAGTATCCCGAAAAAATAATTCAATATTATTAAATATATGATGTCTTGAAAATATTCAGCGATCACCATAGCAAAGATGAGGCAAATAGTTAAAGCAATTATGTAAGTTGCTTTGATTGTGAAGTTGAGAGAAGCTTACAAGATATTGATTTTTGAAGATACAGAATTAACTGTACCTTAACTTTGATCCGCTGTGTTGTAGCTTGACTCATTTATTTATTTAGTCCATAATTAATTTAGATTCATATCTATGCGATTTACTTATATATGCATTCTTACCACCGCCGAAATGTGTATAACAATAAATAGTATAAATAAATATATTTTTCCATGGCCTTACCTCCTTAATGCGGTATCGTGTAACCGCAGACTCGGTGTCGACGTTGATTTACTTCGCTCGATATCTTGCTGCTGCATATACATTTGCAGCTGTTGTTGTTGCTGTTGCTGTTGGTGCTGATGTAGCTGCTGTTGGCTTTGGTGTCGCTGCTGATAAAGCTTGAAGCGTTGCTGCTGCGGAACATTAATCACCGTCATCGATGAGGACGTCGATGTGCTCTTGCTGCTGCCCAGGCCACCGTTGCGATCGTTGTTGTTATGATTGAGTGATTTTATCGAGCCGGAACGTATGCAATACAAATGACGGCGTCCATCTGTCGCCGTCAGCAATTTACGCTTATGCGATACAGCCGTGGTTGCAATCGCCTGCGACGAACCGATGTCGTCTGCAATTGAAATTGAAATGAAAAAGAATTTTATATTAAACAAATACCAGGAATGATCAAGAATGAAAAGGCTAAACACGTTGCCTTGGTGTCGTATGCATTCTCAAGCGTAAACACTAAAATGTAAATTGAAGACGTCTCACGCTTTCATCATCCGAAGGCCGATGATGGAAGATGGATGTTAGGTACAGTTAAATTGTGTGATAAGCTCCTTTTCGAGTTCAATTTGTCTGGCGGCGAAAGCGAGCGTAAATAATAAACGGAAGTGATATAATGAAAGTGGCGCATTATGGACTCTGCCATTTAATTATTAATGATTACTGTAACTGACAGGTACTGAGTGTATTTTGATGTGCAGAATAGCCATGAGGATAATTTTCTGGGCAATGAAAATATAATATATACAAGACTTTCCACTAAGTAGCATTACACATCTGTCTGCCATACACATCCATCTATTATTAATGCCGCACTGTAACTCCGCCGAAGGCATATTAAAAATTTGTGCTTCCTGAGGTGAAGTGCTGTCATTCACGATATGAAGCCCCCAAACAAATTCAAATTGATATTGATCATTATATAATTAAATTTGAGAAAGAGTTTACTTACTTTATGTAAGGCAATATCGAGACGTTGCTTTTTACCTTAAGAGCAGCTCTACGTTGCTAGGCTGCTCCCATGATGATTGAAAAAGACCCAGGGACATCCGTTTAGGATGAAGCGGAGATATCGAAGAAATTTTCTCCCTCTCTGCTACGAGAATGTGTCAAACTTTTAGTAAAAATACATAGTTAGGTTTTTCTGAAGATGGCTCATCTATGGCTTTTTGCCAATTACAAGTGAAGATGGATACCATACTAAACTTTGAAGAACGCTTTTCATTATACTAGCCCTCTCATATGGATGATTAGTATGGTGGCCAAGAAATAATAATACAACATAAAGAAAGTAAGTGGAATACAGATGTCAATATGTGACGTCATCAAAAAACCTGACAAAAACTACATCGAATTAAAAAGCGAACTTAACAAAGCGAACATATGATGACGAGACATGGGTTTAAGGGTATGAAATCAAAACTGTCCAACAATCGAGTGAATGACGCTTCCAAAATGAGCCATAACAGAAAACACCAAAAATTGCTGAAGGCACTGAAGCCCATTCCAGCCGAAGCCCAGCCCTTAGCATGCTTGTATTGTACTAAAATACGTGAAAATGTAGTTTTTTTTTTTGACAGTCCGTGTCAAATTTGCTCAGATGGTATGTAACTCCAATGAACACAAGTTTCAGCTATCGCACTTATGGAGTTCAGATGTTGAAATAAAAGTCATTTTGGTCATATTGGTTATATTGATATTCCATGGAGACTCACACTCCGTAATCAGCTTATTTTCTAGAGGGTGGATTTTAATAAAAAGTGGTATTTCTTTAGATATGAATTGGTAAGAGCGTTACGGTGGAAATACACATCCAACTACAAAATAACCAAGGCGATTTGATTCAGGTATGACAACAAAAGGTCAAATAAGAAATTTAACTGTTTTTGAAAAGTTATAAAGTTATGTATGAATACTCCCATCGTATAACTGGAGGCCTCCCTTATAAAAGTCATTGCCATAGGTATTAACTGTAAAGGAATAGGGTAACAGTCCAGCATCCTTCCGAATAGTACTGTCACTTACTTATATTAGACGTATGGTACTTAATGGCTTACTAAATAAAGAAAGACTATATGCATAAAAAGATTGTTGTACACTCAACGAAAGTAATTAAAATCTTGATTTTTTCGGAGATCATATACTAATGTACAGTTATCCTTGAGCTACTATTTTCTGGCAATATTTGTATTTGAGAAAATCTTATTATTTTCCACTAATACCATACATACATACCGCGGTCTAAAGTGCAGCAGAAACGGCAATTTTGCAAGCACTTCTGCGAAGAGAAATATATTTAATTTTTAGTTGACTATGTAAAGATATGATTAAATTTATTGATTTAAAATTATTTTCTACTCTCCCACATTTACCTTCACCTTCAATCGTGAAACCGCTTTCTTTTCATATTTTTTACTGTTCATAACAAACTGGATTGCCTACCTCTCTTATAAAATTATCCTTGCAGGCAGCTCTTTGTTATTTACAAGTTTTCATAATTGTGATATAAAGTAGTTGAAGCCTGATGATGCGCAACGTAAACGAGCTCATTTTGGGTTTAACTTTATTGGCTATTTCACGCTTAAAAACCATTCGGCTGTGAAATGACTGCCGGCTTACGCTGATTAAATATGATTACCGCAGCCGCTTTGGCTGTGCAACCGGCAATTCGAGCAGTTTTTGGCATCAACACGCTTTCATTATAATGCCTTAAGTACGCTTAGCTATGCACCATATATATGTGTGTGTATGCGCAGCAGTTTGCGTATTTCCAGTGAAAAATACAAACTCGAACCACCTACAGGCTCGTTCATTTGGCTCGTGTCGCAAATTTGAGCTTGTTCAACGCCTACAGGAACTCCTGTCACTAGTTTGATGGCTTTTGAAGCACGAAATGCAAGTTTCAGCAAAGTCGTGAAGTATTTATACTTATAGACTTACTTTAGTAGCAGCTGTATAAATAATACTACAGTGCAACGCCATGGCGTATACGTTACTTTTTGCTTAATCGCTCGAGACGATTTGTCTTAAAGTGCAAATGATTTTTATCGGTATGTATCTATGTAAATATACAAATGCACTTCATTTAGAATTAACACAATTTTTGTTTTGCAATTGAATCTCATTTTATTTTAAAGTCTGGTACATACATACCTATATACTTGTATAAGTATTAGACAGTTACTGCTGCTTCTGAGAAAGACTGACATGCGATTACTAAAGTATGCAATATGCAATTAATTTGAAAGTGCTCTTTAAAGATCTTGCTTTCATGTCTACTATGTTTACTACTTAGAAGATTCATTTGTCGTAGTCTATCGGGCAAGTGTGAATTGTGTGCTATAAAATTACATACATTTGAAATAGTTCATACTTTTTCTGCATAAATTAAAATATTTATTTGTTATTTTATTATTTTAGGTATTTGATAGAGAGTGCTCTTGAAGAAGATTAGATGTAAATTCACAAATGAAACCTCCATTTTCTTTTGAAAACACCAAAAAAACTTTAAAGTAATGCTCATCTAGCAATATTTGTTTGTTGTAGAATTATATTTCTCAAATACTTTGAAGTGTTTTTTGGAGTTGACAGTTCTTGGTTGAATAAAACTTCGTGCCCATTCCATTCACGTAACCCGAGAGTTGGAGGTTTAATAAACACGTAAGTTTTTCGATAACAAGCTACATTTTCACGTATTGTTATACAAATCGTCTTCAAAGTAGGCTCCTAAGCTAATACTAGCATGCCAACACCTAATCCAATTTTCAATACACTTTTTATAAGACTCGGCTGGAATGGTCTTCAGTGCAAACAATTTTGATTCTTTCGGTTTCGAATTATTTTTGGAATGGCGCTAGAATATTAGGAAGTTTCGCTGACATATTCATAAACCCACGTCCCCTCACCAATAATGATGAATGTAAGATTCTCAACTACCTTGTCAAGCATCTTTTTTACGATCGCTACTCGATGTAGTTTTTAAAAAAAATTGAGGTATTTTGGTACGAGTCTAACATTGACACACTTTATACCTAAAATATTAATCGAACTGAAATTGGGTCGATCCGTAAGAGATGTAGAGATCATCTGCTATCTCTGTGATGCCAATACGATGAATTTCAAGCTCCATTTCTTCAAACGTTTCGACGTTATTGTCATTAACAGAGGTGGATGGATGACTCACAATGAATGCTTTGTGGTACTCAAATACTTGCGTTCGCGAAAAAGTAGATTCTGCAAAAAACTGTTGCGGTATTTTTGATGATTCCATAGCCGTTATTTCAATGAAAAAATAAAATATTTCAAACAAATTCGTTCAGTTTTTTCCCTGATAAAAAACGCTAGACAAAATTTTCGCGTTGTAAACAAACAGCTGTCAAGCACACACTAATTGACATATGGAGATCACATTTCACACGAACATAAAAAAGGTTATACCATTCTGGGAAAAAAGGTGCATCGATTCAGTTTGCAGGCGGGTCAAATTTGTACAGATATTATATCAAAAGCTGTTAAAAATAAATATGAAAATAAATGAAAATTTAATTGTGATTTATGGTTTTTTCATCAAAAATTAAAAAATATATGTATGTAAGGTATTGTCTTTTACTTTATAGTAGAACGCACTTTAGCGGTAGCTTTAGATAATACATCAAATTTAAGATATTTGCACTCAAATGTCAGTTTTCTTTTGCTACTTACTTTTACGTCTTTTTGATTTTGAGCCACAAAAAGAAATGTGTGTGCCTTACTTGAGCCAACTGAGATTGAAGTAAAGCCGTTTGAATGTCTTCTTCTTTGATTAGTTTTAACACAAACGCCTCATCCTACACTTTAACTACTTACATTTGTGAAGTTATTGGTGAAAATTTTGCCCAGAATTATACATTCCCAGTTAGCGAAAGTTCATATATGATGAAAAGTAAATGACATACATAACCACATATACACACACATGCATCATAAACAACAAATATTAGCTTGTGTTATGTAAATTATATTTTATGCATGTAAACAACTTTTGCAATGCAGCAAAAACAGTCATTGCCAACAGCCGGTTACACTTCAACCAACGACAATCACACAAACATTTATATATATACATATGTTCATATATATTTGATGCATGGATGAGCGAGAAGCAATTGAGTGCTATAAATCACTGCGATGTATACATCTATTGTGGCGTCAGCTGCGCTTAAACGCTCACTTGTGCACTTATGAAAAGCATAAGCACAAATCACTGTGTTCAGTTTGTAAGCGCATTGTCAGTGACAGCTTGAAGCTTGCGGCGGTGAGCAGTAACTGTCAATAAGTGTGTGCGCGTATTAATTTTCAAAACAG